CTGTGTAAGAGATGGTATTGCCCTTGGTTTACAGATGACAAGCCAGAGGCTCTGAGAGATGGATTAACTTAGAAATGGCAGAACTGATATTAGAATCCCGCTGTGTCTGTAGAACCCTCACTCATTTAACTTCACTGAGCTCTCTCTCAAAGAAACCAAATAGCAGACCCAGAGACACTGAAGTGAAAGAGGTGCTCTTTTTAAAAAATTACTTAGGTAATAAAAGTAAGTGTGTGTATGTGTGTGTGTGTATGAGTGTATATATATATATGAATTTCCTCAGAGTTAAACATGGTAAAACGTATACTATGGACCAGCCATTTATAAGGATGAGGGAGTAAAGGGTGACCATAATGTTCAGAGAATGATGTGTATTTCATGTGTTTCCTTGATCATCTCTTTGGTGACTCCTTGTGATGACGACAAAGTCAACATGCAACCTAGTAGAAATGAGCTGAGGTGAAACACTATAAAATTCAAACCAAAGCAGATGTCAGTCATTTGTAGTTGCTTGAAGGATATGTAAAGAGTGAAATCCGAACATTCTTGTTGAGGGAAAAAATAGACAAAATTGCTGTGAAAAGTCTTTAATACATTTTGCTTAAAAAATATGTCTTATTATACATTGATAAGGGACTAGTTGAGTAAATTATGGTGGATATTAGCATGTTATGTAGCTATTAAAAAGAATAAGATGGGTAGACACGCACACACTCTTACACAGTCATATGGAACAATCTCCAAGATGTATCATTAAGAGAAAACTAAAGCAAGGTGCAGAATGGTGTTTGTGGCATGCTAGTATCAGTATTTGTGTGAAAAAAGGGGAGGACTCTATATACTTGTTATACTCAGACTACTTCTGGAAGTTTTTATATTTTTAAATATCTTCTGGTATTGCTGAAATTTTTTTTCAGGCCATGTGTACATTGCCTTTTAAAAAAAATTGTGGTAGCAAACATAAAATTTACCATCTTAACCATTTTTGTGTGTATAGTTCAGTAGTGTTAAGTATATTCACACTGTTGTGCAACAAATCACCAGAACTTTTTCATCTTGCAAAACTGAAACTCTTGTACCTATTAAACAGCAACTCCTCAGTTTCCTCTCCTCCTGGCCCCTGGTAAGCCACCCTTCTGCTTTCTGTTTCTGTGAATTTGACTACTTTAAATACCTCATATAAGTGGAATCATGCAGTATTTATCTTCTTGTGACTAGCTTATTTCTCTTTGCCAAATGTCCTTGAGGTTCATCTATGTGGTATCATGTGGCAGGATTTCCTTCCTTTTTAAGGCTGGATAATATTCCATTTTATGTATATACCACATTTTGTTTATCCTTCTGTCAATGCGTTGGCTTTTATACATTTTTTTTGAGTACTTTGCTTCACCCTGTAAGCGTGATCCTGAAAAGTTGAATGTAAACGTTGTGTGTGTGGCAGCAGGGTTGGGGGTTGTGGGTTCAATTTTATCTCCCTAAACTTTACAGCTAAGAGGAAGAGACTTTTTGTCTAATGAATGATCCCCAACTTTATGTCTTGGATTTTTGTATTTGAGATTTTTCTTGAAGTGAAACATGTCTCTACTAAGAATGGAACAAAAAAAGAAGAGATTGTGTTTGAAATTGAAGATGCCTGTGTTCATCAGGATACCCCACCATTTGTCTTATTTCACCCACCCTCTGTTTGTCTTACTGACATCTTTGTTCTTCCTGTTCCATGCACTAGAAATCTTAGAGCATCCCCTCCCCCTTTTTTTGAGGAAGATTAGTCCTGAGCTAACATCTGCTGTTGGTCCTCCTCTTTTTGCTGAGGAAGACTGGCCCTGAGGGTAATGTCTGTGCCCATCTTCCTCTATTTTAAATGGGGATGCCTGCCACATCATGGCTGGACAAGCAGTGTGTAGGTCTGCACCCGGGATCCGAGCCAGTGAACCTGGGGCTGCCAAAGCGAAACGTGTGAACTTAACCACTGTGCCACTGGGCCAGCCCCTAGAGCCCCCTTTTTTGTAACATGTTTCTTGTGTGCTGATTTTGTCTTGCTAAATGGAGTAAATTCTTGAAGGCAGGAAACATGTGTTATGATTACATCCTATAGTGATGAGCATGATAGAAGTTGCTTGGTAACTACATATTCAAGGAAGACAAGAGAGAGGCAGAGAGAGAGAAAGAGGCTCCTCTCCCGAAGAGATGATTGCTTTTGGGTTTTCTCTGACTCATCTTGTACTCTTCCCTAGTGAAGAATTTCTTCTACTTGCAGACTAAGTGTATTGGAGGATTTGTGTGTGTGTGTGTGTGTGTGTGAGGGATGTTCCCTTCTGAAAGCCAAGGAAAGATATCAGAAGCTGGATTGGGGCCTGATAGTGGATAGTGAGACTTCTATGTTGCAGCCCTGAGTAGAATCTCAGATTTCTCCCCTCTTCCTAATTTTAAGCCTGGGTATTCAGCTGTCAGCAGGGCAGCTAGACCTGTATGTGCCTTAGGCGGCTTCTTTTTTTTTTTAAACAACTTTTATTTTATTTTTATTTTTTGAGGAAGATGAGCCCAGAGCTAACATCTGCCACCAGTCCTCCTCTGTTTGCTGAGGAAGACTGGCCCTGAGCTAACATCCATGCCCATCTTCTTCTACTTTATATGTGGGACGCCAGCCACAGTATGGTTTGACAAGCAGTGTGTAGGTCTGCACCCTGGATCCAAACCAGCAAGCCCCAGGCTGTTGAAGCAGAACATGCGAACTTAACCACTGTGCCGGCCCCAATGCTTCTTAACTTAGTAGCACTTGGTAGGAATGTTTGATAAAAATAATTTGTCATTTTTGGTGATATTATATGAAAGCACTTAATAGAGGGCCTGGCATATAGTAGGTGTCCAAGAGGTGACAGAGAGTATGTGAGAAATATTTTGAAACAGTCAGGTCTTTCCCTAGGTCCCCTACCTCTACTCATGTGCCTCTACTCCTACCCTCAGGCTAAAGAAGTAGGGACTAGCAACATAGATTCCACCTTTGGGTTGCCAATTCCTTGTTTGTGGCTTTATGCTCAGGCAAGAAATGTAATCTGCTCCCACATATCTGAGAGCAGATACATCTGGACCCTGTCCACCAGGTTACTCAAAACCTCAGCCCAGACTGAAAATGTTCCAATCAAACTAACGTGTCAGATCACCTTGGGCAGCTTTCTTGGTAGGGACCTAGTCTTGAGAATCTTAGTGGGGAAGTCTCTGACTCTGTAGGGTAGTTGTGGCAAGGTGGTGGGTGCAGGGTTGGGCGTGAGTAACTTAGCCAGAATAGGTTGTTGGGTCCAGCTGTGGAGGAGGGGATAACATAGGGGGAAAAAGGGCTCAGCTCTGTGTCATTTTTTCTTATAGGAAGATGGAGACCCCTGTGTACCGGGGCAGAGCTCTGGTCTCCTGTGGCTTGTGACCTCCCTGTGAATGAGTTTCTTGCTCCTGGCTGCCCTGCAAGGCATTGGGGTTTAGTAGGAGATGAAATAGGGGATCTGAATCAGATACCTTGCTTCAAGTCTTACAGATCTGCAGGGAAGAAGTGTGCTTCTCAGGATCTGTTCCCCATGTGCTGAAATAAGAGGAATCCCATCCAGATCCCTGGGGGTTTCCCTCCATCCTTCTGTGCCCCCTCAGCTTACCTCCATCGTAAGCTTTTATCCCTTTCACCCTGTCACTGTCCTGGCTTCTGGGAAGAGGCGGGAGAAAGGTGAGGGAGGATGAGGAGAGTTAAAGAACTTGTGGGGCTATGTGGATTTGCTGTCCTTAAATCCTTTCTGGAACAAAGTGTAGGTGTGGGGAGGAGGATAAGTGAGTGGGTGGGAGAACAAACAAAAGCCGCCTGTGCTGCTTCTCTGGCACTCAGCCCGGACCCTGGCTTGGCATTATCAATCTCTTTCTGTGTTGTTCTCTGTCCCATTTAAAGCATAAACATGGTGTACAACATGATTTAATATATGTATATATCGTTAAATGATTACCACAATACAGGTAACACATCCATTACCTCACATAGTTACTATTGTTTTTGTGTGTGGTAAGAATTTTTTTTCATTTGATTGTGTGTTATAGATATCTTTTCATGTCAATAAATGCGGAATAAATGGACAAATTATATTTAAATGTATGGATATACCATAATGCATTTTATTCTCTAATATTTAATGTTTATTTCATCTCTTATTAGTGGGGCCTTCCCTGACCCCCTTACTCAAAATTGTAACAAACCCCCTTCCTTTCCTATCTACTTTCTCTCATTTTTCTCTGTAGCATTTAGCACCACTTGATATACTACATATTTTTCTTATTTGTTTATTGCTGAACAATTTGTTTATTGCTCCATTAGAATGTAAGCTCCATGGGGACAGGTATTTTTTTTTCTTTTTTATCCAATGCTATACCTGGTGCTTAGAGCAGTTCCTTGTACACAGTTGGTGCTCAACAAATATTTGTTGAATGAATGAATTTGTTGGACTTTTCGTGTCTCTATTGCATATTTTATTTGCAATATTTTATTTTTTAAGATTTTATTTTTCCTTCTTCTCCCCGAAGTCCCCCAGTACATAGTTGTATATTTTAGTTGTTGGTCCTTCCAGTTGTGGCATGTGGGATGCCACTTCAGCATGGCCTGATGAGCGATGCCATGTCCGTGTCTGGGAGCTGAACTGGTGAAACCCTGGACCACTGAAGCAGAGCACACGAACTTAACCACTCAGCCACGGGGCTGGCCCCTATTTGCAATATTTTTGATATTATGTACATTCTGTAATAAATAACCCTGGTATATACATCTTTGCACACTTGTCTACTTATCTCCTTAGGATAAATACCTAGAAATGAAATGGCTGAGTTAAAGGATATGCACATTTTTAAAATGTTAATTCATGGAGCTAGATTACCCTTAAGAATGTTAACTTCTACCAACAGCATGTGAGATTGCCTATTGTTCCACACTGTCAGTAACACTGGGTTGTCTGCTTTTCATCTTCCCCATCTGACAGGTGAAACATGATCTTGTCACTGTAATGTGGTAATTGATAATGTGATTCTGGAGCCAGCCTGCTGGGGCCTGAATTCTGATTTAGCCACTTACTAACTGTGTGGCCTTGGGTAAGTCGTTTAACTTCTGTGTCCCTCAGTTCCATCCTTGGTAAAGTAGGGATAATGGTTGCACCTATTTCATGAGGAATAAATTATAGTCATGTGCCACGTAATGATGTTTTGGTCAATGACAGACCATGTATATAACAGTGGTCCCATAAGATTATTACCATATAGCTTAGGTGTTAGTAGCCTATATCATCTAGGGTTGTGTAAGTGTACTCTATGATGTTCACACAACAATGAAATCGCCTAGCTTTGCATTTCTCAGAATATATCCCCGTCATTAAGTGATGCATGATTGTAGTTAATCCAAGTAAATGCTTCGAATAGTAACTGAGACAGGGCGCACCATAAGTATGATTTAATTTACATTTCTTTGGATATTTTCGTTCTTTTTTTTTTTTTTTGAGGAAGATTAGCCCTGAGCTAACTGCTGCCAATCCTCCTCTTTTTGCTGAGGAAGGCTGGCCCTGAACTAGCATCCATGCCCATCTTCCTCTACTTTATGTGTGGGACACCTACCACAGCATGGCGTACCAAGAGGTGCCATGTCCCCACCTGGGATCCGAACTGGCAAGCCCTGGGCTGCCGAAGTAGAACACGCGCACTTAACTGCTGCGCCACCCGGCCAGCCTCTCTTTGGATATTTTGAAATGTATTTTGCATATTTATTTTATTATTACTATTTTTTTGGTGAGGAAGATTGTCCCTGAGCTAACATCTGTTGACTGTCTTCCTCTTTTTTTGCTTGAGAAAGATTGTCGGATGCCACACAGCATGGCTTGATGAGTGCTGTGCAGGTCTGTGCCCGGGATCCGAACTGGCCAACCCCAGGCCACCCAAGTGGAGTGTGTGAACTTAACTGCTGTGCCACTGAGCTGGCCCCTGGACATTTATATTTTTTCTTTGAATCACTTATTCATATCCTATGCACATTTTCCCAGTAATATTTTCTTAATGATTTATGAGAGCTAAAGTGTTGACTATTATATATGGTTTAGAATTGTTCCCAGTTTGTTGTCTTTCAACTTTGTTTATGCAATTTCTTTCCTCTCTGAAAGCTTTACATTTTTAGGTAGTCAAAATAATCTTTTCCCTTATAGTTTTTTCTGCTACTAGGCCAATGTTTAGAAAAGGCATGCTTTCTTACCTCAAAATTATAAAAATAGGGGCTGGCCCTGTGGCTGAGTGGTTAAGTTCGCACGTTCCGCTTCAGCGGCCCAGGGTTTTGTCGGTTTGGATCCTGGGCGTGGACATGGCACCGCCCATCAAGCCATGCTGAGGTGGCATCCCACATAGCACAACTAGAAGGACCTACAACTAAAAATATACAACTATGTACCGGGGGGCTTTGGGGAGAAAAAGTAAAAGTAAAAAAATCTTCAAAAAAAATTAGAAAAATAATTCTCTTTGAGTACTTTGTGTTTGTGTGTGTTTTTAAATCTTTAAATTTAAGTCTTGAATCCATCTGGAATTTATTTGGATATGAAGACAGCAGTTGAGATCTGGCTCTATTTCTTTTCTGTTGGAAAGTTTCCTGAACCCATTTATTGAAGAAGCAGCAGCAAGAGCCTTTAATCTGTTCTCCCCTCCCCTAATTTGAAAGTAGATTGTCCTAGAGATGGCACATCTCCACTTCAGAGAATGGAGTTGATGTTTGGACTCAGTCAGTAGTTGTTCAGTTGCTAAGCTGTGGGATGCATGTGCTGTGTAAAGCAGTGCGGGATCAGAACTCCCAGCTTGACTCTGAGTGACAAGACTTCTGTGCTCACTGGTGCAGCTTCTCTGCTGGCTGTGGAGGCTTCTCTTAAGTGGATCCTAATTTGGGGACTTCTTTGAACGGGCCATTGTTAGTTTGGGATAAGTTCTGTGTTCTTGAAAAACCAAATGAAGTGGCTGTAGCAGGTATTTCCTCACTCCAGCCTGGGAGTTTGATAGAGAGTATTGAATGGTAATAAACCCATTGTGTCCTAGCTCTGCCCTCATCAGCTCTTTTTGGAACTCTAGTGCCATCCAGTTTCTTATCTCTGAGTCATGATGGAGGGAGGATCATTCTTGTTTAGTGATGAAGGGTAGCCAGCTTTTACATGATGTCTGTTATGTGTCAGGAACTGTTCTAAGCACCTTACATATCTGATCTTTATGAGGTCGGTGCTCTGTACTGGGTTGAATAGTGTCCCAGCAAAAATTCGTGTCTACCCAGAAGCTATGAGTGTGATCTTGTTTGGAAATAGGGTCTTTGTAGATGTAATCACGTTAAGATGAAGTGGTACTGGATTAGGGGGTGAGCCTACGCATGGATTGGAGTTATGCTGCCACAAAGCAAGGAATGGCAGGGATTCCTGGCAATCGCTAGAAGCTGGAAAAAGAAAGGAAGAATTCTTCCCTAGAGCCTTCAGAGGGAGCCTGGCTCTGCTGACACCTAGATTTTGTAGTTCTATCCCCCAGAACTGTGAGAGAATAAATTTCTGTTGTTTAAAGCCACTTAGTTTGTAGTATTTGTTACGGCAGCCCTAGGAAACCAATACATGCTTTTATTATCATCTCCATTTTCAGGTAAGGAAACTGAGGCCCAGAGTGGTCAGATACTTGGCGATCTCTCCAGGCCACTGCTCTGCTGGCTGGACACTTACTCTGAAGCTCGTACTGTTGCTTTTGTCAGCTCCACCTCCACTGTGGCCGTCAGCTTCTGGTAATGCTGGGACTGAGCTGCTGGAACGGCTCCTCTCTCTGGCACAGCAGGCCATAGCCTTTCCTTGTCCTTGCCCCTTCACACCCTAAAGCAAAAACTCCTCAGAAGGCGTGCACTATAGCTTGATCATTTCAGCAGCTCTCTTCCCAGCCTCACCCCTCTAGGTGAGATCAGGCTTTTATTTTTCATTTCTGTGCAATGTTAGAGAAGTGTGGGTGACAATTAGGGGGAGGGTCACCCAGCTGCTTCTGGCCGTTGTTTTTATGCTTCCCATTTCTGGCCTGCTATCCTTCCTAGAATTCCTGTCAGTAGACAACTCAAGTTTTGTTTTTCTTTGGAGCTTTCAGGATCTGACAGCTCAAAAGGCACGTATCACAGTCCATGGCTGTGAACAGAGAAGGGACAGCTTCATGGCAGCACTGGTTGTGAGGGCCCTGGTCACCTGTTCTTGATAAGTCAGCTCACCACAGTGGTACGCTTTCCTGCTGAAGGGAGTAGGTGCATAAGGACATTGTCTGACTCAGCTCATCTCCGTGAACAGCTCCTTGTCTGCCCAGGGTCTCTTCTGGCATCCCTCTGCATCCCGTTACTGGCTGTGGAATCTTGCCTGTTTCCCAATAGAGACCTTTTGCTTTGGGTCCTGGTCTTATTCTTACCTTCTCTCTCTAGGCTGTGAACTCCAGGAACTCAGGAACCATATCTGTTTTGTTTGCTGCTGAATCCCAGGACTCAGCAAAGATCTGACACTTGACTAGCCCCTCAAGAAATGTTTACTGAATGAAGAAATGAATACTGACCTTGAAGCTTTGGAATCCTGGTTTTCCTTGCTTCTTGCTGAAGCCAAGGACCAGATTAAGAACTTTAGAGTCCTAAGCAATAGAAAGATTATGATGTCTCTCATACTTTCAGCCCTCAGTGTATATTTCAAAAACAATATTAAACACAAAATAAGTGTAGGGAAATTTAGCAAAGTATAAGAAAAATCCAGCAAAATTCTGATTTTTGCCATGGTGACTACTTGGATAAATATAAAATAATTTAAAACATTTGTTATTGTTGTCTCTGCTTTGCCAGTTCCCTAAGTACGTGCTGTTGGATAATCCTGCCTGGACCAGCCCCTCACCTCACCTCTACTCCATCTGCTGAAGCTGCCAGCCAGGCCCCTTCACACCCTAGGGGTGTCTGGGTCCTGAGATTCCAACCTTGGCTAGTACCCTGGGCTCTGAGGGGTGCTGCCAGGAAGTCAAGTAGAACATGTACACTGCTGAAGAGTACCTCCATATGAGAATTCCCATGTGGAATTAGGATTTATAGTCAGCATAGCACGTTGTGGCAAGTGATTACGCTTAGGCTGTTTTTAGTCATAATAATCTACTTCCATGATCCTGTATGTGGAAGGCCCAGAAATTTCCCTGTGGTCTTCCTTCCTGTATCACTGAGAGAGAAGTCAAGACACAGGCCTACTCTGCCTCCTGTGTTAATCTGGGCCTTGTTGAGACCATTCAGAGAAGTAAGGTGTGATTCTGGAAGTGGAGCCCAGGCCTTCTATAGGCTGTTTCAACACTATGACCATAATCAAATCCTGTTGCTGCTTAATTCCAAAGAGTTTAAAATAGTGTTGGAAACCTCCTAGGGGAAAAAAGTGCCACTGTAATTTCTTGGCTAAGGAAGTAGTGTGTGCTGGCCAGAGCAGAAGGGGTAGCCAAGGCTCCTAAGTTCTATTCTGGACCTGTTGATTTGAGGTGTGACATGCAGCAATCTGAGATGATGTCCTGTAGCTCTGGTGGTTTCTGATGGTCTCTTCAGCACAGAGAGTGATATGGGCTGTGCTGCAGGGAAAGAGACTGACACACTGGCCCCTTGTCCTCTAGGAGAACCTTCCTCTCATTTGAATTTCCAGGCTCCTCTTTTAAATGCAGAAACACCCCCCACAGAGTTAATACGGGCACCCAGCAATATCATCCACATTTTACTTGAATTAATTGCAAATTGATTTCTTTTTAGCAGTGTGATTAGATCGTTCTTCTAAGGGATGGGGACTTCGATAGAGTTCAGGAAAGGAAGGGATCGTTTGTGTGGAGTACACACTTTGGCTTTGGACAGCCAGAAAGTAACATGAGGACACCAGGTGTGCAGTAAGCTAGATAGAGAAGAACAAACTCACATTCTTGGAGAGCGAGGCATGTATTAGATGCTTTTCTCATATTTTCTTATTTAATTATCATAATGCAAACCAAAAAAATAGCATCTTTGTTTTTGCACATGGGCAAGCTGAAAGTTGAAGAAATTATGTAACTTGCCTAAGGTCAGACAG